GTAGTATGAAGTCTAAGTAGTTCTGACGTCAACGTCTCCTTACTCAAAATGGGATATACTCCCTAAGTTCTAGGTTCAAAGACCCTTAAGAGAATAGGTACTACTACTACTGCCTTAATAAATGGGATCTAATGCCCAATTGTTCGGGGTGGTTACCGAACCCTCCAAAATTTATTTAATTTGCTTTACACCTCTCAACTCAAGTAGTAGTAGTCCTAACCCTCCCTCACCATTAACGGACGTGAAGGTGGCCCGACACCTACGGATTTCTCCCGTGGTGCCCCAATTATGAAAACAGTCTTTTATCTTGACTTTCCAAAAATTTCACATTTATGTCTCTTGGACGAAATTTTACCACAAAGATTAAAATCCATAACTTTATATTTTCCCCAAAATATCTTACGTATACACATAATCCGATGTATCTCAAAAACACAACAAATACAACTTGCTCACAAGTAATTCATCAATCAAAATATTCATACCATCACATAAATCAAGTAAATAGTTATTTACGAGGTAAAAACATAATTTTGGTTGCAATGTGACTTACCTCAACTTGCAGATAGTCCTAACAAGCTTCTCTAACGGCTTCCTCTCCAAAGTCACCTTCTAGAATATGAACATTCTAGAATTAATAATTAACTAGCTTATACTTTAAGGTTAATCAACCCACCTTAGCTTAACTCATTGTTATCCGATTTTCAATCTGTTTCGCAAATTCAAATGGTGCATTAGTTATAATTAATCACTTCAGTTAATCTTACCCCTTTCGATATCAATCCATCTTATTTTAATTATACTATCTTTAATCCAGATTTAAAAATAGTCAAGTCATATTTTCTTTAATCATTAATTCAATCTCTGTTATACACTTTTATTTAATCCGAATAATAAAGTAATTCAAATAATCCATTTGAACAATCAGACCGGTTAAAACATTTAATCAACTTATTATTTCGGTCAAATGCTTGGTTTGTCAATTCATTAAATAGTGATAACTTCTAAAAGTAACAAGTACGAAGTGCTACTTGTCAATTTATTAAAATCTCCTACGTATGTAGTATTATTAAAATAATTGGTTTTCTTTTCATTTTACGTACCTTAATAGCTCATGATTTAAATTATCAATTAATTAAATCCAATACCATTTAAATATTCTAGTCCTATAATACATCATTCGCTAATATAATATGATAAAGGTAATTCACGTTTCGTCATATTCGAATAATCTAGTAACTTATTTTATTTTATAATGATCATCCATTTTATAGTTACATCAGTTGATCTATTACCTGATTCAAACGTCCATTTTACAGTGATTCGATCGGTGAAATTTAAATAGTCAAAGTTCCATATCCATAATTTGTATATAGGCCATAAATTTTAAAATCACTAACCAAGCCGTTATTATTATTATCACTTTTTATTACCGTTTACTATTTCCTTATTATTATTGGTATTAGCATCACTATTCTTGTCAATACATAACTACTGCTCTTATTATCAGTCAAATTTTCCATTTTAATCCAATTACTCCATTCGGTAATATAATAATCATTCAATTTTATTTAGATCATTAATTTTATAAGTACCAACCATTCCATTATTATTATTATTACGTTCATCTGTTATGCGAAGTAGTTGTCATTAACTTATTTATTTTCGAACAGTAAATAGTCCAAACCGGCTTAGTTTTATTATTTCAGTCTAGTTTATTTTAATTAGAGTCGATCCATAAATCAAAGAAATGGTCTTTCGTGTAGAGTTCGTCCGTTTTCTCTACCGACTCTACGTAACTGCCCGAATTAACTAAGAACGCAGGTGTGCGGGTTACCTCTCTTGGCGATGCTTTCGTGACACGGTGACGACAGCGTAGACCAGTGATCGGTGCCCGGCGGTTTCCTCCTCCAGAAATGTCCGGCAGAAACCTGCAGCGTCCTTCCTTCTCCGGCAAACTCCGGCACACCACGATCGGCCTTTCTCCTTCTTCCGAACGTTCACACTCGCTCTCACCGTTCTCTCTTAAGTCTTCACATCCTACCAGTGGCTTTCACTGAAGAAAATGAGATCTTCTTAGAGGCAAGGAAAATAAATTGATCGTGGTTGACAAAAGCTTTTAAATTTTTTACTGCAGATGCATCTGAAGAAAGAAACGGTTCACGAATATATGGGTTTGTTGCATTTTTATTGTGTGTAACTTTTCAGCAGCAGATGTTGACTTCAAAGGGTATTATTGACATTTTTGAATTTTGAGAAGTCTAACTAACAGATCTGTTTAACTTAGGGTGCAAATACTAAAGGTTTTAAATTTATGGTGCATAGTCTAATTCATCACATAAAACAGGGTGCATACTTAAAATATCCCCACTATTATAGATTTAGATTCAAAGCAAGTAGAGACAGAAACTCATTTTTACAAGCAACACATATATGCAGGGCTTCTTCAATTTATTGTAAACCAGACATCGGAGCTTTGTCTTCACTCTTCAGGGGTGGGGGGTGTCAATTCATCACGATTCAAAGAAGCCAACGGAGAAAAGACCATTTGGATTGGTAGGGAACTGCTCTGCACAAATCGGGATCCAACTGGGTATTCCGATGTTTCTGCGAGGGGAGGAATGACTTGTCTAACAGTTGGGAAGAAGATAAGATTTTTTTTTAAATTAAAATGGTGCCGTTCAGAGATCGGCACACCGTGCACATGGTGGGCCGATCCCACGGTATAATATGCGGATGACTTGCATTTTGTTTCGCTTCTTATTAGTAGACAGTTAGACACAACAGGGCGGGGGAGGATCTATGTTAGGGCTATGGTGGGCTAAAGCCCAGGACAAAAAAAAATATTTTTAAGGTATTATGTTTAAAACATTGCATCCAGCCCATCCCAAATTTTTCTATAGCCCTGTCCAATTTCTCAGCCTAGCCCATAATACAAAATATTAACATCTAAAAATATAATCTAAATGTTATACACATCACCCTCATACTTAATAATTGGCACTTAGTATATACATATAAGGACTTCATTGACATGTTCACAACAACTTTTAAAGTGCTTGAGTATCTTCAAAAACATTGCCCAAAAGTGAGGTCTTGGACATAAGTTTGTAATGTATATTAACACTTTTCATGTTTTGAATTTGTGATCCTTTACTCTTTTTTTTTTTTTTACTTCAGGGGGGTCTGGGGGAAAGGGGGCTGGGGGGAGCCTGAAGTAATCAGGGCTGAAACTCACTCCATTGAGTTTCGCACCCTTGTGTGCCTAGTGAGTTTCGAACTCGTGACCTCCCACTAGGCACGATAACCTCACAACCAGCTGGGCTGGAATGCTTGGTTATAGAAATAATGAATTCTGTCAAGGCCTTCGAAAAAATTTATTTGATATCTTGTTAGTCATGAGAGACATTTTTCCATTACACAACCGTTCATTGACAAAAAACGGATGGGAAGGCTTTCTTGAAGAAGTAAAGGAGTTTTGCTCAAAACATGAAATTCATGTACCGAAGTTGAATTTTGAATATAAGGTTGAACATTGCAGAAAGAAACTACAGTTGTACATCATTATCACTTTGGTGTTTTCAATGAGGCAATAGACTTTGTATTGATGGAGTTAAGGACCCGATTTAATGATAAATCAGTAAAATTCCTTTCTTTGAATGCTTCATTGGATCCCAAAAATTTATATGGGTCATCCAATGACGATGTTATTTGTACTCTTGCAAGGAATTTCTATTCCGAAAATTTAGTAGTCAGGACATTCGTGCTTTGATGTATTCATGTACAAAGTTTTAGTATCTACATTTGTTGAATTATGTGAGGAGTTGACTAAGAGCAGAAAATTTGATTCATATGTATGGATTGTATCAAGAAGAGATACTAGGATGTACAAAGTTGATACATTCCATTCATTACAAACCAATATTATAATCGACTGCATAAGTGATTTTCCGTCAGTAGAACTAAAAAGTAAAATCATTTTATCCCATGCACGACTGCACGGTATGAGACTATGAGTAGAGATACTAGGATGTTCTATTTTGGTAATTGAATTTTATATTTTAGTATAGCATACAGAAAAAAATAGTATTCCAATACTTAAAAGGTGGATATACAAGAAAGAATAAATTTATGTTTTGTAGTTTTTAAGATGAATTGATTATGAATAATTGAAAGTTGTCCATTTCATACAAAGAAGGATAAAACAGACATTTACCTAGCCAAAGAAGGTGAAACTATACAATCAGTCGCAGTCGCCCCAAAAGCAAGTGCATCACACGTGCATCAAACTCTTCATATTAAGGGATTATATGCATGTTTTTATGAAACATAAATGGGTTTTGTGTATTTTGGAAAACACAAGGGGATATTATGCATGTATTGTATAACATAAAGGGATTTGGTGCAATTTACCCTTGAAAATAAGGATGAAAATGGTGGACGGGTGATCCAAAACCGCCAGGGTACCAATAGAATCATGCACGCAAATTTTAAAGATGTATGCCCCTACCACCGTATTAGCCAGCAAAACAAAATACACCTCAGTAATGTCAAAATGAAATGGGTAGGATTAATGATTCAGTCATTCAGGTGGTGAATTGGGTGAGCCTATCCACATCCCATTTACTTTATCTGTTATATCCTTGATCGATCACTAATATATTTTCAAGTTTCAATCGGTCTGATTGGGTGGGTGAGGCGTATAAATGGATATCCATAGGTAATTTCCATCCCTGTTCCCATCTGTTATGCAGTTCATGCACAAAATAGAATTGTATGCATGACTAGCTTGTAGTGTTGATCGACTACCTACAGGCTACAGAGACAAGCACCTCAAATGTAGGAGCAACCCCATCAACAAGATGGCCTGCAGCAGAGGCTCCCCAACCAACCCAGGAATGCCTAGTAATGTCAAATTCAGCATTTGTATATCAAATTCACATCAATTTAAAATGAAATTGTTGCGATTGAAAAGAACTTTTCGTATACTATGTGAATATGTAAACTTTAACTACTAACACTAAATTAAATATGCATTAGTCAAGCCTCATAAAATGAAGAGAGATATTTTTTGGGAGGGAGGGAGTATTGCATAAGTAGATAGTGATGGAAAATAGCTTGAAAGGGAGAAGCCGACCCATATTTGTTTTGAGGAAGGTTGAAAGACAGCCACGGATGGGATACAGGTCTAATAATCACATTAATTTATTTGACCTAGCTTAATGTAGGAAAGCATGAAAAGTAGGGTAACCAGAATCCCCGAGCCTGGAATGTTATGCTGGTGAGAATGTTGGTTGGAAGGGAGAAAAAGTTGGCGCCTTTGGTATGTAATTACCGTAGGGCCCATAATCAGGCACCCCCTTCTTAGGCCTTCTGCGATCTGCTTCCAGAAATCTCTTAGTCAACCTCCGCCTGCCGCGGGTGCCTGGAGGTGCCAACCGCACAAAGTCTGGGTCCCGTTCATCCTCCGGCGGTTCACACTGATTCAGCACGCGCATCAACAAACAACAATGTCAAAATCAACACTAAAGATGAAGAAGAAGAAGAAGAACGGGCAAGTGACATACTCGCACGAAGTCCACCACATCCCCATAGCCATCCTGCAATATGATTATATGAATTAGGAGGATACAAAGAAATACAGAGCAATCAAACCAAATCTATTTAATAAGGAAGATAAAGATAAATGGTGGCCACCGCCATAGTTTTAACGGTGTTTTCCGGTGGATCCGGAAACTGATCTGCCAGAACCCGACCCAGCTGCTTCAAATCAGGATCCACTTCCTTCCATTCATCAAGGTGTGCTTGCCGTTCAATACATCCCCAGGTACTTGTGCTGAAATCCCAACCATACGTACAATTTGAAGACATGCCCTAGAGATAGAAAGCGTAGGAGAGAAGGATCGGTAGATTCCAGAGGCGGGTAGATCACAATAACGAGGCGGTAAAATAGCATGCACTAGATGTTGACGCTCATATGCGGACCGGGTAGACTTTTTTTATAAAACACCATAAAGAGCAAATCTTCCCTTCTACCGGTGTGGGAAATCTGACCAAACAAACTCAAACATAAGATGCGGCACGAGAAAAGGTTTTAACCCAGGGTTTACTTCTATTCATCATTTCCCAACTTTTTTGTCACTTCTTCTAGGGGCAAAAAAGTTAATTACATTAGATGTACAAATGTTATGTTACATTTAATGAGCAACTTGTCTACACGTCCACTTGTGAAGCGTTTGAACTTCCTTCTCTTATATAAAGTTATATTATTGTTCTAAATACACTAAACACGTAAACAACCACTAAACATTAAAAATAAAGTGAACAATCACTGATTATTATCAGTTATCACCATCTTCATCATCACCATCGTCACTTTTATAATGATCACCATTACTATTTTATCATACCACTGCTTTCTCCAATTCTAGTTTCATGCAATAGGTAAATCTATACATTTTAGATTTATGACTTGACATATATTGTTTTGTTGGAAATTAGAAAAGTATGATGTTCTTGCATGATATTTCATTCATCCAAATAGAGTTGTGTGGTTTCTATTAAAAGTAAAGTTGTGTAGTTCATATTGAATTGATAAAATGTGAACAAAATAATGATAAATTAAAACCGCATAAGTATTACCTATTATGATATGAGAGTATGAGACTAATAGGGGTGTTTGTCATTTCAGTTTCATCCATTCGGTGTTATGAGAAAGTATTGGTTATTTTCACACCTATCAATAATATTGTCCATTATTGATCTGACTGGTGCACTTTGATGCATAGAAACCAACCAGTGAAGGATGAATTTTAACATGTTTGTCAAGACTGCAAAAAAAAAAATGCAAGTCACTGTAGAGATATATAGGGCGCAAGTTACCTTAAATCTTCAGGTTCACCCTTCTTCGGAATCAAAGTAATATTAGTAATATTTACCTCTCGTGGGAGCCTCATTTTGTCAAGACTCTCTAAACAAGTCCACAAACTCAAAATCAGCAATGCTCCAGTAGTGTTGAAACTTGAAAGAAACCAGAATTAAACCGGCAGGATCATGGCGCTCTGTCGGGTGCATGCCATGTTATAAATCACTTTAATCACAAAAATTGGTTTTTGTCTGTGTGTACACTTTTATACTCCGTATATCTTAGCAGATTAGAATAAGAAGGCGCTTTTAAATACTATCTTATTAGTTACTCGTTTTGAAAATCAACTTATTAAATGGCCCTTGATTGTTTTCAGTTTTTGGTAAGGAATAAATTAGGCATTCCTTTACAAATAACTAAATTAAGCATACATTAAAAAGAGTTAATTTTGTACACTTATTTATTCGTCTGGAATATTTGCAGTATCTACTATTCTACTATCCAGAATGGTCCCTCCATTGATTATATAGTCGTATTCACAAAATATGTAATTTCTGTTCTCAAAGAAAGAGATCAAACGACCTAGCTAGAAGAGAGAATATATATATCTTTAAGAAAAATGGACTAAATCCATGATGCAATGACTCGGCCTGAAGAAGGGGAGAGGGAAGAAATAGACGTGATCGTAGTTGTAGATCCAATGGTCGTCATTGAAGCTCATATATCTTCATCAAGAGTATAACAATCTTCATCAAGATTCAAGAGTATAACAAGATCTAGTTCAACAACGTGCTTGTGGTTGTGGAGGGGCTACAGCAATAGATGAGCCCCAGGGAGGAGTTGGGGATTCAGGTGGTATAATAGGGAGAAGCTGATGGTTGTTGGTTAGGTTAATTAATATTTAGACTCTGGTTCTATAATTGTCTCTTGAAAAGAGAATATTATTTTTGACTTATTAATATTGGACTTATATATATATATATATCAAAGGCTCAAAGTTAAATCCATTTATTAGTTCAGAATCTCGATTTTACAATTGAAATCGAGATTTGAACAACAGCATGGGTTCAACGACACACTTTCTACAATGTAGATTCACATCTAAGATATAACTATTCAAAAAGCCTTGGTCATTTTCTTTTCTACACCTCAATCGAATAGAGAAACCTAACAATATATCTTCATCTTCTAGGATTGCCAGAAATACATATAGCCACATTGACATTCTTGATAAATTTCCATTCAAGGATGAAACTGATGGATGGGTGATCCAAATCCGATTTATGCCCCAACCACCGTATTATTAGCCAGCAAAACAAAAATACAACTCTGTAATGTCAAAATGAAATGGGTAGGATTAATGATTAATGATCGGTCACCAACATGTTTTCAAGCTTTATTCGGTGTGATCGGGTGGATGAAGCGTATAAATGGATATCCATAGGCAATCTCCATCCCTGTTCCCATCTGTTATGCAGTTCATGCATAAAAAAGAATTGTATGCATGACTAGCTTGTAGTGTTGAGATTGAGCAACCCATCAACTAGATGGCCAGCAGAGGCTCCCCAACCAACCCAGGGATGCCTAGTAATGTCAAATTCAGCTAAGAGATTGAGTTCAAAAGCTTCCTGAGTTCCACTAGATCACTGTTCCCAGGGTCATCTTAACAGTGATCTAATAGAATTTTTGGTATATTGTGTGAATATGTAAACTTTAACTACTAACACTAACTTAAAAAATAATTAGTCAAGCCTCATAAAATGAACAAAGAATTTTTTGGGGAGGGAGGGAGTATTGCATAATAAGTAAATAGTGATGGAAAATAGCTTGAAAGGAAGAAGCCGAGCCATATGTGTTTTCAGGAAAGTTGAAAGTCAGCCAGGATACAGGTCTAATAATCACATTAATTTATTTGATCTAGCTTAACGTAGGAAGATAAATAGTAGGGGAACCAGAATCCCGGAGCCTGGAATGTTATGCTGGTGAGTATGTTTGTTGGGTGGGCGAAAAAGCAGGTGGTGTCTTCTGTATGTAACCGTAGGGCACAAGAGCAGGCACCCCCTTCTTAGGCCTTGTTTCCATAAATCTCTTAGTCAGCCTTCGCCTGCCGCGGGTGCCTGGAGGTGCCAACCCCAAATAGATTGGGTCCCGTTCAACCGGGGGTTCACACTGATTCAGCATGCGCATCAACAAACAAAATGTCAAAATCAACACTAAAGCTTAAGAAAAAGAGAAAGAAGAAAGGGCAAGTGACATACTCGCACGAAGTCCACCACATGCGCATAGCCATTCTGCAATATGATTATATGAATGAGGATGATACAAAGAAATGCAGAGCAATCAAACCAAATCTATTTATATAATAAGGAAGATAAAGATAAATGGTGGCCACCGTCATAGTTTTAACAGTGTTTTCCGGTGGATCCGGAAACTGATCTGCCAGAACACGACCCAGCTGCTTCAAATCAGGATCCACTTCCTTCCATTCATCAAGGTGTGCTTGCCGTTCCTTCCATTCCCAGGTGCTTCTGATGAAATCCCAACCATATATATAACTTGTAGACATGTCCTAGAGATAGAAAGCGAAGGAGCGAAGAATCGGTAGATTCCGGAGGAGGTAGATCACAATAACGAGGCGGTAGAATAGTATCACTAGATGATAATCTGGCGAATCAGACCGGGTAGACTTATTTATAAAATACTCCGTACCTTAAAGAGCAAATCTTCCCTGCTACCGGTGTGGGAAAGGTTTTAGAATAACTTGTCTACACTTTTCGTGGTGAAATTTGTGAGCTTTGTTTTCTTTTGCAAAACTAACAAAAAAAATCTTTTGATGAACTTTTACACAGTTTTCTACACAGATTCAAAGAAATTGTCACAATTTGGTGGCCCGGGGTCTAGCAATGACCCCAAATGAAAGACTTTTTTTCCGTATTAATGTTAATTAATTAAGTATTTACGAAAATATGATTGGGTTAAAAGTATTTACGGATTTACTGCTAGGCTTTACCCTGGTCGGAGTAAGTCGCCCAACGGTTTGGCGACTTACTCATAAATTATAACACCGGGTTAAGCTAGTCCAGTATCGAGAAAGAAAGTTAAAAAAAAAAGATGAGCAAAATTTTCTTTTGAGACCCGCTGAATTTTACAACTATCGTGTCGCAGGTCGCTCGCACGGGGGGTGCGAATTTTCGATTCGCAACTACAAGTCAGAATTCTTGTGTGCGCGAGAGTTCCCCTTTTCTCACTCACCTTTTAATACTAAGTGAAGAGTGATTCATATTTATAGGCTCAAAAGTTCCCAAGGAGTTTAGGTGTGGGAAAATTTAAAAGATTCATTTTTCTCCTATACTTGAGAAGAGCATTTTTTCCATCTACCATCTTTAAGAGCTAGTTTTTGAGCCACATCAAACTTCAAAGTCCAAAACTCCAACACCAAAGGTCAACACAACAATCAAAGCTTCCAAGAGTCAACCTTGAGATTAAAAAAAATCTCAAGGTTAAGGGTTGGTTTGCTACTTTTAAAAAAACACTTAGGCTTTGTTTGCAAATAATTAATTCAAGTGCTTTTGGTTTTTTTTTAAAAGAAAAAATCACTTATTTTACCAAACAATACCAACTTTTACTTTCTCGGTTTTCGTGTAGAATCTACTTTTTACTTTTTCTATTACACAAAAAGCACTTATTTTACCAAACACTACCAACTTTTACTACTAATCACTTTTTCCCCGAAAAGTGCTTTTATTTAAACACAATCACTTGCAAACAGAGCCTTATCAGCTTTTGGCTTTAAAAAACACTTAGAGCCCGTTTGGTAGCACCAAAATCGGCTGTTTTGGCTGATTCTGCTGAAATTTATGATATTCTGGCTGGAGTGGCTGTTTTGGCTGATTCTGCTGATTTAAGAAAAAAATATTTTAAAAATATATTTTATTAATAAATTAAAGAAAAAATTATATGTAAAAATAGCTAAAATGGTCCTCTACAGTAACTTCAGCCAATACAGCCAGAAAAGTAACTCCAACCTTACTTTTTCGGCTTATTACACAATTCAGCGCGCGAAAGTAAAAGTTACGTGTTTGGTGAAAAAGCTGGCTGATAAGCCTGATAAGCCGAAAACAGAGTTCTCCAAACGGGCTCTTATTTTCCCAAACACTATAACTTTTATTTTTCTCGGCTTCCGCATCAAAAGTGCTTTTACTTTTTCTAGTACACAAAAAGCACTTATTTTACCAAACACTACCCACTTTTACTTTTCAAAATCACTTTTTTCTCAAACACTTCAACTTTTATTTAATCACTTCTTCCCATTTCATTACAAAAAGCACTTTTTTAAAAGTAGAAGCTGTTGCAAACACACCCTAAGACTATTTTTCTCAAACTCCAAGTTACATTTCAAGGTCCAAGAATTTGCAGAATATATAACTATACATATTTTTTCTTAAATTATGTTACAAATATACTTCAACATACATATGTGTATATAAAATAAATCATAATTTTTTTTTCTTATAATATATGAATATTTTTTTTTTAGTTTTACACACAGAGCATATAAATATACAGAAAACCACAAGCAAACCAGAGTTTTAGCAGCATTGACACCACTCATCCACTCATGTGATGCATCATCCCAAACATTTGGGAATTTATTTAAAAAAAATGAAAATTCAAAGCAAACCACATACTTCTAGGTTAATGCAGCCCCAAATGACCGTCAGTTGCTAGAGATGTGATTCAAATGCTATATGACGAGGAACATATAGAACACACTTAACCTAGAAGTATGTGGTTTGGGATGATGCATCACATGTTAGTGATATTTTTTTTTGTTAATCTCAGAGTTGACTCTTGGAAGCTTTGATTGTAGTGTTGACCTTTGGTATTGGAGTTTTGGACTTTGAAGTTTGATTTGGCTCAAAAACTAACTCTTAAAGAAGGTAGATGGAAAAAATGCTCTTCTCAAGTATAAGAGAAAAAAGAATCTTTTAAACTTTCCCACACCTAAATTCCTTTAGAACTTTTGAGCCTATAAATAAGAACCACCCTTCACTTAGTATTAAAAGGTGAATGAGAAGAGGGGAGCTCTCGCGCACACAAAAATTCTGACTTGTAGTTCAGAATCGAAAATTCGCACTCCCCTGTGCGGGCGACTTGCGGATACGATCGTCGTAAAATTCAGCGGGTTTCTAAAGACAATTTTGCTCATCCTTTTTTTAACTTTCTTTCTCGATACTGGACTAGCTTAACCCGGTGTTATAATTTATGGGTAAGTCGCCAAGCGGTTTGGCGACTTACCCCGACCAGGGTTAAACCCAGCAGTATATCCGTAAATACTTTTAACTCAACCCTATTTTCGTAAATACTTAATTAATTAGCATTAATACGGAAAAAAACTCAAATACAAATCATAATCCAAAATAATTTAAGGCAATGTTATCAAATCTCTAATAAATGTATATCTATCCGTAATACTTCTATAATGTTATACTCCGTAATATTATTATTATTATTCAATAGTCCTTAATGACGTTAAATCGTGTTGACTATGTAAGTATGTAATTACCATTAGGCTATTACCTTATTTAATATTAGGCTATTAATTATAAGTATATGAGCTTAATAGGTAAAAAACCGTTGTCCCTCGAACCAGACTCAGAGTTTATCACCGCAGCAATATAACTTGCTGATTCATTAATGGGCACAAATAAACCAATCGGTCTAATTGGGTGGGTGAAGCGTATAAATGTAGTGTTGATCGACTACCTACCGAGACAAGCACCTCAAATGTAGGTGCAACCCATCAACTAGATGGCCAGCAGAGGCTCCCCAACCCGCCCAGGGATGCCTGCTTAAGCCTAGTATTGTCAATGTTTTAATCGTCAAATTTAGCCAACAGATTCACTTCAAAAGCTTCCTGAGTTCCACTAGATCACTGTTCCCAGGGTCATCTTAATTTGTATATCAAATTCACATCAATTTAAAATGAAATTGTTGCGATTGAATAGACCTTTTTGTATATCATGTGAATATGTAAACTTACCTACTAACACTAAATTAAATATTCATTGGAAAATAGCTTGAAAGGGAGAAGCCGACCGATATGTGTTTTGAGGAAAGTTGAAAATACGCATCTGAATGGTTGTGATTCAATAGAACTTTTCTTACACCATCTGAATTGTACCAACTTAACACTAAATTAAATATTCATGAGTCAAGCCCTCCCTCATAAATTGAACCAAGAACTTGAAAAGGAGAAGAAGCCTGGCCATATGTGTTTTAAGGAAAGTTGAAAATACACACAAGGATGGGATACAGGTATAATATTCACATTAATTTATTTGATCTAGCTTAATGTAGGAAAACATGAGAGATAAACTCCCCATATGCACCTCATATCTTACACATGTTATAACACACACATACATTTTGTTATGAGTGGATTCAAGTAAGCTCGTTAACGATCTTAAATGAAGTTTAAAGCTTGTTCAATTAAAACCTGCCAGAATTGTATGGTGTTGAGTCTGGAGTAATTGTATAGTTATCTATGGTGGTGAGAGTGTTGGCTCGGTGGGTGAAAAAGTTGATGCGCTTGGTATGTATGTGTGAGCGTAGGTCGCAGGATCAGGCCACAGGCATTCTGCGTTCTGCTTTTAACACTCCCTTGGTCCTCCTCTGATGTTGGGAAGGTGGGTGAAAAAGACAGTGCGCTTGGTATGTATGTGTGAGCCAAGGTCGCAGGATCAGGCAACCTCATCTTATTAGGCATTCTCCGTTCTGCTTCCAACTCTCCCTTAGTCCTCCTCCGCCTACTGCGAGTGCCTGAAGGTGTCCACTGCAAAAACCCTGGCTCCGGTCCCAACTCACACTGATTCAGCATCAACAAACAACAATGTCAAAATGAACACTAAAAGATGAACACGGAGAAGACAGGGCAAGTGATTATGTGACGTACCGGCACGAAGTCCACCACATGCCCATATCCATTCTGCAATATGATTATATGATGAATGAGGATACAAAGAATTACAGATCAATCAAACCAAATCAATTTATACAAGGAAGATAAATGGAGATTACCGCTATAGTTTTAACAGTGCCGTCGGGTGGATCCGTATACTCAACTGCCAGACCACGACCCAACTGCTTCAGGTCTGGATCCACTTCCTTCCATTCATTACGTTCTGCATCTCTTTCAACAGCAAACCAGCCACATCTGATCTCATCCCACCCCAAAGTATAATCCCCACACCTTTTAGTCAACCTATAGCTTAGGAGAGAAGCCATGGCCTACAGACGTAGGCTAGATGGAACGATAGATCCGGAGAGGTCAACGAGAGCAGATAAGAAGAACCAACCGTTCGAGGAAGACCAAATATGAATATGATTAACCGCATAAGGGCTGATAGACTTATTTATAAAAGCACCCTCCAATTCGACTCTTTTCTTCCCACGGTGTGGGAAAATAATAGAAGGAAACAACATAAACTTAAACAGGCACCCCACAAAACGTTTTAACCCAAGGTTCACTTCTATACAAATTTAGGTAGAAATTTAGATAGACCAACTCCCAGTTTTATTTAGATAGAAATTTAGGTCTTTAACTTTACAACTTATATTTAATAATTACTACGTAATTGTTATGAAAATTAGATGCCAACTATCTTTCGGAACAAGGAAAGTAAACAGACAACATACAAACAAAAGGGTCATTTGGTCATTTGACATGATTCAGACTTCTCATTAAACACATTTAGTAAGCGGTTTGTTATCTCTGTGTCACTTAATACAGACAAACAACTTAATGCAGACAGACGTCTTAATCCATTCCAGACTTGATGGGAAAAAATAAACAACCCCAAAGTCAAATAAGGTCTATCCTAAATTAACATATTACGTAGCATATACGAATATAACTCCAAAATATGCTTTCCATAGTAAATGCTTTCCAAAATACCCCTCAAGTTAGAACATGCAGATTCAAAATGTCGGCGGTGAGCTATGACGGCAGCGGCAGTGCTCTGAGGTGAAGTGGTGGCCCTGGATTGAACACATACGGCAAGGACAAGCCGACAAGGATAGGATGGCGGCGGGAGAGGCGGATGGTGCCGCCTTTTGGGCAGCGAGGACTACGGCCGGCGGCAGTCAACGGGGTCGGCGAGGGTAGCGGCAGTCGGCTGCTGCTCTGGCATGCTGCTAGCAGGTGACAATGTGGGGTTTCAACAGTTTTTTATTTTCCATTTTTAAACTTAAAAAAATTAAAGTAGGGATATTTTTGTCGAACTAATTGAAAATAGTCCTATATATGCAATTAACTTTGCAATTAGTCTAACAAGTAACAATATCTTCATCCTCTAGGATTGCCAGAAATACCATTTCGATTCAAGGATGAAAATGATGGACGGGTGATCCAAATCCGCCAGAGTACCAATGTTATCACGCAAATTTTGAAGATTTATGCCCCGGCCACCGTATTAGCCAACTAAAGAAAATACACCTCTAGTAATGTCAAAATGAAATGGGTAGGGTTAATGTATCTGTTAAATGCTTGAGCAGTAGTGAGCAACATGTTTTCAAGTTTCAATCGGTCTGATCAGGTGGGTGAAGCGTATAAATGGATATCCAAAGGTAATTTCCATCCCTGTTCCACTCTATTATGCAGTTCATGCATAAAAAGGCAATTGTATACATGACTAGCGTGTAGTGTTGATCGAGACTACCTACCGAGACAAGCACCTCAACTAGATGGCCAGCAGAGGCTCCCCAACCATCCCAGGGATGCCTGCTTAAGCCTAGTATTGTCAACGTTCTAATCCTAAAAATGTCAAATTCAGCCAAGAGATTCACTTTAAAAGCTTCCCGAGTTCTACCAGATCACTGTTCCCAGGGTCATCTTAATTTGTATATCAAATTCACATCAATTTAAAATGAAATTGTTGCGATAGAATAGACCTTTTCCGTATATCATGTGAATATGTAAACTTACCTACTAACACTAAATTAAAAATTGGGAAAAGGGGCAAATAAGTTCACGTACTAACAAAAAAAATTCAAATAAGCCCTTATTTAGGAGGCTTTGTCTGGCCGTCGTCATTTGGGGCGGTTCCTGATGGAATTTTTTGATGAATTTTTGTTAGCATCTTATTCATTCAGTCTAGTTTACGCATACCAAATTTCAGCTAAAACTTCCATCGGGAAGGCATTCAAATGAATTCTTGAAGATAAATGTGCAGTTAAAAACGCAATTATCTTCAAGAATTCATTTAAATGCCTTCCCGATTGAATTGTTAGATAAAATTTGGTATGAGTAAACTAGACTCGATGTTCAAAAAATTTCATTAAAAAATTCCACTGCGAACCGCCCTAAATGGCGACGGCCGGACAGAACCTCATAAATAAGAGCTTATTTGACCTTTTTTGGTTAGTGCGTGTACTTATTTGCCCCTTTTCCCTTAAAAATTCATTGGTCAAGCCCCATAAAATGAACAAAGAATTTTTTCGGGGAGGGAGGGAGTACTGCATAATTAAGTAAATAGTGATGTGAAATAGCTTGAAAGGGAGAAGCCGACCCATATGTGTTTCAAATACGCATCTGAATTGTTGTGATTCAATAGAACTTTTCTCAGAGCATCTGAATTCTACCAACTTAACACTAAATTAAGTATTCATTAGTCAAGCCTCCCTCATAAATTGAACCAATAACTTGAAAAGGAGAAGCCTAGCCATATGTGTTTTGAGGAAAGTTGAAAATACGCACAAGGATGGGATACAGGTATAGTAATTACATTAATTTATTTGATCTAGCTTAATGTGGGAAAACATGAGAGATAAATAGTAGGGAAACCGGAACCGGGAGCCTGGAATGTTATGCTGGTGAAAGTGCTCCCTGGGTGGGTGAAAAAGCTGGTGCGCTAGGTATGTATGTGTGAGCGTAGGCCGCATAATCAGGGACCTGCTTCACAGGCATTCTGCGTTCTGCTTCCAACTCTCTCTTAGTCCTCCTCTGCCTACTGCAAGTGCCTGGAGGTCTCAACAGCAAAAATCTTGGCTCCTGTTCCGTCTCACACTGATTCAGCATAAGCATCAACAAACAACAATGTCAAAATTAACTCTAAAAGATGAAGAAGGAGAAGACAGGGCAAGTGATTATGTGACGTACCGGCACGAAGTCCACCACATGTCCATATCCATTCTGCAATATGATTATATTAATGAGGATACAAAGAATTACAGAGCAATCAAACCAAATCTATTTAAGGAAGATGAAGATAAATGGAGATTACCGCGATAGTTTTAACAGTGCCTTTGGGTGGATCCGTATACTCATCTGCCAGACCACGACCCAACTGCTTCAGGTCTGGATCCACTTCCTTCCATTCATTACGTTCTGCATCTCTTTCAACAGCAAACCAGCCACATCTGATCTCATCCCACCCCAAAGTATAATCCCCACACATTTTGGGCAAGCTTGTCACTTCGATTCTCTTCTTTCCTACCATTGAAGGACGACCAAAGCTTATGGAAGAGCAGAGCCGGCGTTCATGTTCAACATGTTCTACAGCTTCCCGATTTTGGGGCCTCAATTTTTTTAAAATATTAGTATCACATAGTAACAATATTTAAAAATACTAATCAATAAAATAATTTTTTTCCCGTACTTTTGCTCATATTTTACTCAAATTGATTGAGTGATGAGTTATGCTGCTTTTAATCAAACATTAAGTGATTTTAAACTTTTTATTACATTATTTGATGAGCATTCAATTGATTTCACTATGAGTATTTATATTAATTTTTTTTTCTTTTTATATTAATAAGGGACCTCACCATTTATATGAACATGGCCTCCAAATTCATTACTGTTTTGCGGAAGAGACGTAGGAGAGAAATTAAGAAACTGATCGATAGTTCCGGAGGATACGCTTATTTGTAAAGCACCGTTAAGAGAAATTATGCTCTTTCCACCGGTGTGGGGAACATTAATGGGAGGATTTTTAATCCAAGGTGATCTTCCTAGTTCCAATACATTGTTTTGAAACTTTTGAACAATTTCTTTAACTATTCTAGATCCCTGAACAACCACTAATCATCGTCATTTTTATAATTCAAATACTTCGTATTTTTTTAATTCAGGAATGTCAGAAGAGTGAGGAACAGAAGTAGAAGAAATACAAAGAAGCATTGCAGATAAATTAATGGGAAAATGGAAACTAATAATCCAACCTTTTAGCGGTCTTCTTTCAATAATCCCACCTTTTGATTATTCATGAATAATCCAATCTTTGCACCTCATCTTCATTCATTGGTCCCTAGTCGGTTAGTGACCTACTATTCCAAGTTATTTTCTTATCTTTCCAAAATATTATCTTTGTGAAAGATGAGATTTATGGTATAATGATTTGCAAAGATAAGAAAATAGCTTGGAATAGCAGGTCATCAACCGGTCAGGGACCAGTGAATGAAGATGAAGTGCAAAGGTTGGATTATTCATGAATAATCAAAAGGTGGGATTATTGAAAGAAGACCGCTAAAAGGTTAGATTATTAGTTTCCATTATCCCTAAATTAATTTAAAAAGCATGCTAAAGAGGAATTCTACTCTTACACGTGTGTGAGAGGGATAGAACCAAAAAAAACATTAAACATAAAATGCAGCGCGACTGCCCGCTAAAAGGTTCTAAATAAAAAAATTGGTAATATTTATGTAAAAAAGAAAAACTTTTCTAAAAATCAAGGTTGACTTCATATTCCAATTATATTATAGGCATGGCTCCAACCCAAGTAAGTTTTTTACAATTTTGAATAGGTGATCAGTACATTACCCATTTAAAAGAGACAGTAGATTAAATTCATTTGATTGGTCCAAGACATTACGATTAAATTCATTTGATTGGTCCAAGACATTACATCACTTTTAATTTTCATTTAATTCCATTATTTGCAATGGAGCCAAAAATTCACTATTTTTTGACTTGAGAATATGATGGAATAAAGCAACATGACTCACTAAACTGTCTGCGCTTCTTTGTTACAAAGAAACAGTTAGTCCATGCAATTTTGAACGCGATTTTCACTATGGGTCATCCGGAAACAGTCTCTCTGAGATTTAGTACATGGGTAAAACTGCGTACATCCGACCCCCTTATCCCATTGTTAGTGGGAGCCTTTGCGGCACTGGGGTAAATGAAGATGATGAAATGAAAATGATGATTTCAATTACAGTATTTTGACCGGTTCATGTGGACATATGTATGGTATCTTCTGAGTACAAATGTACAATAAAATCTACCTTTATAATATCCTGTTTTTACTAACTACGGAGTAAGGTTAATTTAATTGTGCCGCGCCTGATATATTCATTCTCTTACCCAGTTGTAAGCATTTTTGTTTATATGTAAAAATGTTGCCCTTGTGCAAATTTATATGTATATAATTATTTAAATTTTAAACCAGATTTTTTTTCACAATTTTTTTACAAAAAGTTTGTTTACGCTTTTTACTTTTATTGGATAATTTTGTTGCTTTTTTGTTTATAAATATAAATAAGAGTCTCACTATAAAGTACTATACTACTTTTGTTCCAATTTGATGATCTGGTTTCTTATTCAACTAGCACAGTACATGTGCATACGTACGAGGAAAAACAGTTGATCTATATATACTTTTATTCACAATCTAATAAAATATAAAAATAGTTTTTTTATTTACTTTTTACATAATTTCAAAAATGGAGTACGATAAGTGAATATAAAAAAGTACAAATCCTTACAACAAATAATCAAAGTAAAGAAAATTGAAATATAAAAATATCGACATCATCCATTAGAATTTGCTCCATAGTAATAATTAGTATTGTTAGGTGTTTTTTGTTATTGTTGAGAGTAGGTGTTATGTATGTGATTGTGAAGATGTGTGTTGTATGTTTTATAATGTGTTGTATCTGCCTCGTAACACTCAAACAGGAGAAGAGAGACCTTACTTATAGCAAACAGATGAGTCCGGGTTGAACTGGGGCGAAAAACTTGCTGAAATGATGTTTTTGGACCTAGGCACGATCGTGCCTACCCTTGCAGGCACGATCGTGCCTGGCTGGCAGTAGCTGCTGGCCTTCACACATATATCAGGGGTAAGTCGCGGTTTGGCGACTTATAAGTCGCCCAACTGTTGGGCGACGTGACTTACCCCTGACCATGGTTAAGGTCAGCAGTAGATCAGTAATAACTTTTTTTCCAGCATTATTTTTGTAAATAATTATTTAATTAACATTAATTCGGAAAATCGTTTCTTTTTGTACCAATTCAAAAACATAGGGGGTGCCGGGGTGCGCACATCTTATTTACTATTGGATTATCATAGGAGTAATTTACAAGAAAACCACTATGAACCCAAGCAAATTTTACTTATATATCTACTCAAAAAATCAGCATTGTAATTTCTTTAATAGATTTTTGTGTACATGTTTAGTTTCGTTTTTCTATTCTCATTTCCTATAGAATTCTTTACATATTTTTTATGTACTTTTTAGTTTCCTTTTTCTATTCTCGTTTCCTTTTAGCATGTTTGGTAAATACTAAATAGTAATTCCTCATAGAAAAATAAATAGTAATGAATATATGATTAAAATAAACGCATTGGATAAAAATGTAATATTTTATATTTCAGTGGCTTTGTAAATTTACACATTCAAGGTAGAGTCCGTCCTATCTCTGCTTCCCTGTCGTGATTATATACGCATAGAAATTTTAGTTTCATAAATTTTATTTTAGTAATATTTAAGAAAACACAAAATTACTTTCGTTCTGGTGGGCCTAGACAACTTTAAATAAGTTGTATCATAAAAGAATTTTAAATAAGTTGAGAAAAAAGAAAAGTAAAAGTTGTGTAGTGGATGTTTTTGCATAGGAAAAAGAAATGAGCGTCGTCATAAATGAGTTATTTTAATGATCGGAAAATGACAACAAAATTTAAACAATATAAAAAAGGAAAAATTGACAAGAATAATCTCACCTTTCACTGGTCTTCTCATAATAATCCCACCTTTAAACAATCCCAAAATAATCTCACCTTTGCACCTCATCTTCTTTCATTGGACCTTGACCAAGTTTTTTTACCTTTTTTAAAAATCTTATATAAATAATCTCACATTTATAAGGATATAATTAAAAACTGAAAGATGAGATTATTTGTATAATTTTCAAAGAAAGAGTAAAAAACATGGTCAGGGTCCAATGAAAGAAGATGAGGTGCAAATGTGGGATTATTTTGGGTTTATTTAAAGGTGGGATTATTATGAAAAGACCAGTGAAAGGTGGGATTATTCTTGTCAATTTTTCCTTTTTTTTATTGTTTAAAAATGTCTAATGAGAGAAAGGAAGTTTAAAAAATTGTTTACACCATGTATTGTTTATGTGTCATATAGAATTTTATGTGTGGTTGTATAAAATGTTTAGTTGTTAATTATGCTCGTAATTTTTCAAACTCACATACCCTCAAGGTGTGGTCTAAAACTGTTAATGTTAATGTATAAGGGATGTTAAAAATCATAATGTCATATACACCTCTTGGCAAAAATAGATATATGTAATAAAAACATATTTGTTGCAAGAATACAATATACTACGATATTTGCCTATAAAAGATAGTTGCATAGATGTTTGCAAATGTGTTAATCACTTAGCATATTATATCTCATCATGTTGATTCACAACATTATATTTCTTTTGCGTTTTTCTTTCTTTTTTTCTTCTCTCCCTCTTTCGTCCGCTCGTGCGGTTCTACCTTTGGTGACAAATGCTCTTGTTCCAATCACAACCTGAGCGTCGTCGTGCGATTAGTCTCGTGGTTTTCTGATCGCGCATTCCTGTTTGTAGGTTCATCACTTCATCATCATCATCAAATTGTTTTTTTTCATGAAGATTTTTTTTTTGAACAGTTCATGAAGATCTGTGTAGCATTTGGAACTATGTCCTTTTAGTCCCAAATAAGCCGTGATCGTTCTCACAAAGAAAGGGCTGCGATGCATTAAATTTATTCATGCTATTCTTGTCTAAAGAACCCATTTTTTTTTGTATTCTCTCGTGAGTATCAGCGGAAAATGTGGTTTTCCGATTGGACAACACTACGACCCTTATTCTGAGTAAGAAAGTGTCAGTAATATAAACATGACGTCGGAGAAACAAAAGTGATAGTGTTTGTCCGTAGGCGGGGTCCGGGAAAATTAAAAACCAAATCAAATAAGTTGAACCGCAACCAAATAAGACTGAACCACTCAAAAACCGAAACCGAATGTAAAAAACTGAACCGAACCAAAGTGTTGTTTGATTCACTTTTGGTTTTTACCCTTCAAAACCGAACCGAATAAACTGAACTAATTAAAATATGAAATTTTATTTGTTAATTGTTAAGGATTGATCCTAATACCAACGATAGTATTTTGTATTCTTGTGCTAGAAAATTAATTTTTGTTTTGTGTTTAGTTTGGTTTAAATATAAATGCATTTACACATTCATTAATTATTATAATGTAGTTATATTGATCTATTATATCTTTTGTGTATGCATGTTGCAATTTATTGCATGATGATGATATGTTTTTATTGGTTATTACTAGTAATTAACTTTTATTTTTATGTAACTTAAACTTTTGGCGAAATTGACACCAATAATCTCTACTTTTAGGCATTTTACAAAAATAATCTCCACTGAAAAAGTTCACAACAATAATCCCAACCGGATAATTGTTTCACAAAAATAAACCGGAAGTTAACGGTGTTAACTTTTCCGTTATTTTTTTATAATTTAAAATAAAATGAAGAAAATATATATAAAAACATTAATAATATTATGTTTTTGTTTAGTCTTATTTCTACTATAAATTAAATTTAATAATAACTATTTTTTGTAAAATGTAATAAAAATATTTGAACACAGACTTGTATTCATTTTAGTACGTATTTATGTTTAATATAAAATTACTAAAATTACTTTTAAATCTCTATTACAATGAAATAAAAATGAATATATATAAAATATTGATTTGAACTAAAAGAAAAATGAGAATTTGATGATTATGTTTATAAATATTTCTATAACATTTTATGAAAAATAATGACTATTAAATTTAATTCATAATGAAATTAAATATAATGACAAATATACGAAGTATATAATATTCTTGATTTGTGTACATATTTTCGCTTCATTATATTTAAAACGCCAAAAAACTAACGGAAAAGTTAACACCGTTAACTCCGGTTTATTTCTATAAAAGAGTTATGTCACGCCCCGGACCTACCGGACACGTCA